TCCGTCGTGTGTATACGCTTGACGCCATCTTGAAGTTGTACCCTCAGTTTGTCAAGTCGCTGCCGAATTCAAACGCCAAAGTAACTCCGTCTTGTACGCTGGTGGCGCGCGCTCGTTATGAATGGTTTTAGAAACAAACCCACGGAGACGGTTTTCAAAGAACACGCGGACTCGGCCGGCGACTCGGGAGCTACACACAGGGACAGGAAGACCAGCGGAGGAATGCTGAAGAAGCTCAAGTCCAGGCGCAGCCAAACGGATAAGTGGCCCGTCGTCACGGAGCAGGAACTGCGGGCTTTAGGGAGAGACATTTCCCCAGACCATGTCCTGGGTCTCCGAGCCGTCACGGAGGGTGAGTATTCTGGCGGAACTAGTTAGAACCTGGATACGTCACACGCCACTCGTCAAGCATCATCCATTGTTCCGATGCGGTTGCGCTACGAGACCGAACAAGAAACCCCGGGCGGATTGATGTTATTTTCAAAATGTATCGGTAGTTAGATACTTTACCGCGGTGTTTATGTGCTCACAAGTTACAGGTTAAGCTTCCTATCGTAGTTTGTATGGAAATGGCAACCCGGTTATAAAAGTTAAGCCCAAGAAGTAGAAGCCCAGACCGGAAAGAGCGTGAACTGTTGGTGCGACATGGTTTCAATGGAAGGAAGTCAAAAGAAAGAAGAGTTCTTACGCGATTTACATTTTAATATATTTTTATACCGGACTTTTCTATCCAACGTACAATTTCAAGTCTTTTTCCCCCCCGTAGAACCCAACTCGATACTGAAAATGTGTTCGAGGGGAAGACGAATAAAGATGAACAGCGAATATCAATAAACAATAGTGTGACGTAATTCCACGACGATGGTTTATTGAGGAACGTGTGTGTAAATGATGTGTAGAATACATGTCTGTGTTTTTACTGGTGCCTTTTTTTTTTAATTTTCCAGATTACCTTTGCAAACCAGAAGATAACGTCTACAACATTGACTTCACACGTTTTAAAATCCGAGATCTAGAGACTGGGACGGTCCTGTTTGAGATTGCAAAGCCGCCCCATAGTGGTGAGTTTGAGTTTGTTCGGGCTTGTTTGCTCTTGGTCGTAGTACTAGTTCTTCATGTGTATTAGTTTCATAGAAAACTTGTTTTTAGCGATTTCCGATAATATTGTAATATTATAATATAACATAATTATGCTAATATCCGTATTATCGGCCCGATATTAGCATAATTATGTAACATCCGTAAGAATGTCCATATCCGTAACAATGCTGGAATTGCTTCAGGGGTCCTGACGCTTTTACCACAGTTTTGGGGGTAAATGGCTGCGAATATCGTGAATATCTGCAAACACTTAATATCAGACATTCGTACTTCGTTTTTACTACTTTGTTTTTTTGTTTTTGTTTTGTTTTGCAGTGAAACAGTCTAACAGTGTATGTGTTGCGGTTTAGGACCAGTGACAAGTGAAGATGACGTTGAAGACATTGACACCAGCGCAGGGCGTTTTGTCAGATACCAGTTCACACCGGCTTTCCTCAAACTGCAAACAGTCGGTGCAACGTAAGGAAATGGATTCAAACTTTATTTATTTTAGGTCATTTTTTTACCATGTTTTTACTCCTGTTTATTGTATGATGAGAGCCAATGTTTTTATTTGCAGTGTGGAGTTCACCGTGGGGGATCAGCCAATGAACAGCTTCCGTATGATCGAGAGGCATTACTTCCAGGGACGCCTCCTGAAGAACTTCGACTTCGACTTTGGCTTTTGCATTCCCAACAGCTGCAACACGTGCGAACACATTTATGAGTTTCCGCAGCTTCCAGAAGACCTCAGTAAGTCTGCCTCTGTTAGCATGATGATAGTAGTAATTAATAATATTAATAATTAAGGATGTAAATATACACTCAACTCACGATATGATTTTATTTTTTTACACCTGAATGTCTCTTAGCCTACGACGTCTGGGTTTAATAGCGCATCACAACCAAAGTTTTTAGATGCACAATGCCACCTGCTGTAGTAGAGTATGTAGTGTCATGGTCTGACCAGTGACTTCTTGAGATACCGCAGCCTACTGCTAATGCCTTGGAGCGAGAGTCGATGCAAATTTTCACGCATTTGTATCTTTTTTTTTTTTAATCCAGTCACGATGCATCATTTCATCCCTTTTTAATAATAATTGTTCCTTTTAGTTCGCCAAATGGTGGAGCACCCCTACGAGACCAGATCGGACAGTTTCTACTTTGTGGACAACAAACTCATCATGCACAACAAGGCGGACTATGCCTACAATGGCGGTCTGTAGACGGGGGAGAGGTGGGCGATCATTTAGGAGATGATGTTCGTGGACGCGGGAGCTTAGGAGATCTTCTGTGTACATCACAGCCAACTGACCAAACAAGCCTTGAAATGTTCACCCGATCCATTCCTCAGACTTTGTTCTGTCTTTTATATATATATATGTATATATACACATATATTTATATATGTATATATTTATATATACACATATATTTATATATGTATATATACATATATATATATATATATATATATATATATATATACACCGTCAGGACGTCACACCCGTATGTTACTGTTGCCTTACATTTCTCGCCGTCTCTGCTGGTTAGGGACACCGCCGACTCGGAGATCTCTTCTCAGTTAAGTTTATCGACCACGGACGTCACTGCATTTATTTAAGTAAGTAAATAGCTGTTTTCAATTTGTTTTTTTGTTTTTCTTACTTTTGTCTGTGCGATAGTTGCAGATTTTCCGTTTGGAGACGCAAGAACGGACCAGACATTGTTGCAGTATTGTTAGTCATAGGAAACTATTGTTAGACTGTGTCACGGACGGCAGGTGAATTCTTTATTTTTTTTACAACTCATTCTTAACTAAACTTGATTGATCCTCAACTGATCGTTGAGGTTCTGTCGCTCAAAATGGTAGCAGACTCTGCCACTGTTCCATCAGAACATCAGGTTACTAACATCGGAACAGAGGGATCTACATTGGGAATAACAAGGGAAACAAATGAGAATAATTGCTCAATTTTTTATTTTGCGTAAACAAATGGGGGGGAAAAAAGTCTCAAATACTTGAAAATACATGCAGTACCTGTACATTCAAGTAGCAGTTGGAGGTTTAAATGCAGTACAAAGATGAACCAACCACGAATATTCGCGTGTTAAACTAAAAAAAAAAAAAAAAAATCGATACACTACTGTAGAATATCTGATACGATATCGTGAAACGAAATATTGCGATATTTCAGTGTGTTGATATTTTCTTACTCTTTTACTTGGCAGATACAGAATCTGGTCAGATATATATATATTTTTTATTAGGTAACTTTGCAGTGACAACATTACAACCCCCCTTTTTTATTTTATTTTTTAACACTACAGTACATTTCGTACACAGCGTTTCTTCACTTGTTGAGTTTTTCTTCACAGTTCGGTAAAAAAAACAAAAACAAAAAACTCTGGTCTGAAAAATCACAGTCCTCCAAAAGCCTTAGGAAGAAACGAGGCTTTCTGTATTTGCACTAAAAAGTACACAGGAGCGACACCAACAGGTTATGAATGCCATGAATAAAAGTGGATCCATTCAAATCCGGTAAGAACACGGACTCCGTTTGTGAGCAGTTTTTCAGGAACTTTTCTGCCATCTGTGTTTTTTTTGTTTTTTTTTCATAAATAATAAAAAAACGTGATTTTTCTAGGACGATAAATAAACGTGGAAATAAATGTGTATATATTTATGTAGTCTCATCATGAACACGTCAGAGTTTTTGCAGCTGATAGTTTTTAAACCTTCGCGGGTTTTTACATCAATGCTGTAAAAAGTGGGAAATGTTGTGTATTTTTACTACTAAGAGTGTAGACATTTACTTTGATTAAAGTCTGACGACGGCCACCGCTTTTCACTGAGTTTTAATTATTATTTATTGTTTCCGGAAATCACGTTTTGCACAAACTAGCTTCATGGTTGACTTCCTTTAGCATAAAGATTACAATACACGAAGGACCCGAAACTTAAAAAACAAATTGTTTTGTGCTTGAATTTAGGTTTTAATTTTTAAAGGTTAAATATAGAATTTAAAAAAACCTTACAAAACTAAAATGTATTATTTTAAGAACGTAGACTTTCGCCGTTACGTCACACCCGGTACCGTTCTGTTCCAGTTCGGCTAATGGTTATCGAAATTAAAATGCGTATTTTATTTAATTAATTAAACAAGAGAACAACACAAGTCAAGGGAGTCGTTAAATACTTTTTTTTTTTAATTTTACAAACATTTTTTAAAACGTCCAAAGGCCGTGCAGTCCCGAACAAACTCTTTTTCACGGAGCGGACACAACTACTTTACCCAGAATCCTCCGCTCTATCCGGGCACGTTCACCGTCATGGCGGCGTCTGTTAAAAACACGGTTAGCGCTCCGGACGAGTCGAGCAGCAGCAGCGAAGATGATGAAGCCGTGCGCAGGTGTCGGGAGGCTGTGTGGAAGCAGAGTCCAGCCGCAGGACAGAAAGGTGAACTTTTAGGTTTTTAGTTCTGAGTTGGGTTTAAGACGTTAGTGAAGAAGTTAAAAACGACTCTCACTGGTTCGTACTCGGTGTCAAAAGAAGTTGCTGTAACTGAGTTATCGTTAAAGTTGACGTCCACTTTTATTACGACAATTTATTACGTCGTTATGTTGTTTTTTCCCCTCCGTTGTCGCTCTATCATTCTCCCGCCTAAAGTGGAGCGTAGAACATATAAACTTGAGAGAAGAGTGCTTCAAAAACCGTCGATGTTTTTATCTTTCCAGACGATGGCGCCAGTGCGAAGGAGTCCAAACGGTACTTTTTTCCTCCTCTTGTTAGATTCAGTAAGTTTTTTTTAATGGTTTTAATGGAATTAATATCACGTTTACAGTATTGTTGTCAAAGTCCATGAACACGACGGCAATGAGCTCCAAGTTAGCCAAGGGTTTCGGACACACGTCGCTAAAAAGCTGGGACATCTACTGGACAGGTAACTCCTCAACTTCCTACCTCTTCACCGGACCCAGAGTCTTGTTCATTCATGACGATAAATATTCACACATTCACATGTTGTCTGTTTTTGTTAGCTACATTTCCGAGACTCAAACTGAAACTTTAGCCAACGAGGAACCAGGAAAATGTGATCGTTTCGACAACGAAGGTGAGGTTTAATCTTCACTAAATTGATTTAATTTTATTTTTTTATTTTTTTTAATCTCATTTTTTTGTCTTGTCTTTCAGGATTTCGTCTCTTTTCTACGTCAGTCCCAGGGCGACAGGCGGAGGAGGTGGAGCCTCCTGCTGTCAGACGTCGACCGCTGCCCAGCTCAAGGTTTTGTTTTTTGTTTGTTTTTTTAATTTAGTGGTGATTTGAATTTTAAAAATTGATTATTACGTGATTCTCTGTTTCGTAGTGACAGCGACAGTGAAATGGAAATGAGGCTAAAAGAGGCCGCGGTGTCGATCCGAGACTTGATACCCTCCCTGACGGTACCCTCTTCACCCTCGCCTTCCTCACCCGTGGGAAAAGTAAAAGGAAAGACAGATGCGGAGAAGGAGGAAGAAGTCGTCCATTCTGTCAAGAAAAAGAAAAGGACAAAAAGGCGACGGACTCAGGAGGACGCAGTTCCGGATGAGTGTGATGGTTCTACTCTGGCTGCTCAGAACACCGGTGAGAAAGGAGAACAGGAAAACACGAACGCCGGAGTAAAACAGAAGAAGAAGAAGCGGGAAGAAAACGATTGAACTCATTAAAAACTAAATTTCTTCTCACAAAACTTCAGGATTTTACATCTTTGTTCCGTCATTCTCCGCACGTTTAAAGCAAACGCAGGAGTTTTGTTCGCAAACACGTCAGGCAGTAAATAAAAAAAAATGGAAGCGTATGAGGTTCTTGTGCACGATCCTGGGTCTGGTTCGGGCTAGTCTGGATACTTGGTCAAACTTTTCTACTTAACTTAACGGAGGTAGCATCGGTAGCTTTCCAGTGTGAAGGCCCATAAAACCTTCTAAAGTACTGTGTACTCCCCAATCAAATACTGCAAATAGTTGAAAATTTAATGAACTTTAAGATATTTTATGAACAAGAAAAATTACATTTAAGGGAAAAACAGCAGGGGGAACACTTTTTCAATTTCGTAAAACATTTCAAACGTACGTTGTCGGTGTTGATTTTCAGTTGATTGTCATTCGTGTCTGATCCTTGTTAAAGCGAGTCCTTGTTCATTGGTACAGTTTTTATGGAATTTGAGTCGGAGAGTAGAGGGAAAAACCTTCAACTCCGCAGGGTTTGGAACAGAGGTCACCAGAGGTCAACGCAGGTTTACAGCAGCGTTCGATTCCCTGTCCGTCTACTGGGCAGTGGAGACCAGCTGCGCAGGGATGTAGGAGCTGATGTCGGCCGGTGAGGGCGACAGGAGGTGAGACTGGTGGCTGTCTGAGGCCTGAGAGGAAGGATAGAGCTCCAGACTCTCCGACGAGGCTGACGACGACAGACGCACACAACCAAAAATGATTAACTGTACAGTCGATCGACGGGTCAAGAATGTGGTGATACAATACGTATCACGATACAGGGGGCATCGATACGATATATTGAGGTTTTTTGTTTTGTTTTTAATAGTTTTCGGAAAACTGTCAGCATCAGGAATGTCCGATATTAACTTTTTGCCGATATTGTCCAAACACTCAATTTCCAATTCCGATATCAACCGATACCAATATGGTCTAGTTGCTGGCAACAACATTCAGCACACGATCGCCTGATTATTAAAACGGATTAATTCAATTTTTTAGCTGCAATGCTGCCATCTAGTGGCTTTCACTTTAATATACAGCTGTTTATCCCCAAAACAATTTTTAGTGCACACATAATTTGGAAACCCAGGCGTACTGTTATCGGGTTTTCATTATCGGAGGAAAAAACGATAATTATTTTTTTCAGATAATATATAATTATGCTAATGTGGGCCCGATAATGTCGGAAACGCATAGACTGTACAATCAGTACAGTCTACGTAGACCATCTACGTGATTTGATGTATCCCGGTGTTTACTAGTTAGGTGTGTAAGAAAATACCGATATACTCGCCGTATATATCGTATCGTTGCCCCCGTATAGTGATACATATCGTATTTTTGCTTATATTGTCGCTTCTCGGTGACAAAGTTCTAACAGGATTGGTTTAATATAAAATGAACCACCATTATAATGGGAGTGTACTTAGCGCCACCTACAGGCCAGTGAAGGAACGCACGTCACCCAGCTGTGACTGGGACTCGGTGTTGGTGTTGTACCTGGAACAGGCGTCTGTGGCTGCAGATGCAAAGAATCTTCCGGTAAACTCTGGTCCGTCTGCTCTTCCGGGTCCGATGTTAAAATCTAAGAAAGACGAGAATTTATTACGTGACACAAAACTTCAAGTTGTGTAAGAACATTCCCGAAAACTCAAATCCTACGACAACATAGAAGAAGAAAATTTTCTACAAATATAATTTCGATGCCGGTGTCAGAACTCTATTGCTGTTGCACATCGCAGATGTAACGATACACGCAAGTCACGACACAATTTTATCCAAACGTTTTTTTTTAGACAAACAACTCCAGACAAGAGCTTGAGGCACCTGACGTCTTGGTTTAATAGTCAGTCACAACCAGCATTTTTAGGTGCATAGCGCCACTTAGTGTACTCGGTCTAGTCCTTACACATTGATATGCGATTTGTTTTTTTATTTCAACTGATGTGAATTTCAAAATCGCATTTGTATCGAATCTTTAACCGTCTGTCGTTCATGGAGCCTCCCAGTGGAGCAACAGGATATTGTTGACCCGACTGGGAGTTCTGGCTCCACCTACCTGTCTGACGGCAGTGAGGCTGGTCAGCGTCCCCAGGCTGCTGCTGTCTGTGATGACCATGGCCTGGGACAGCAGACTGGACGGATGGTACTGGGGCGAGTCCGACTTGGCGTACACTGAGAAGAAGGACGGAATGGTACGTGAGTCGTGTCTGGACCTGATACCCGACAAAATGTGGTCACGCATCCGTGGTCTTACTGTGACACGGCAGCTGCGTCATGGTGGCCATGAAGGGATTGGCTCCCATGTGACTCTGAAGTTGCTGCGTGATTGGCTGCTGCGGAGACCCGTGAAGTTGCTGCTGAAACGAGATCGGCTGAAGCGTGGTGAAGCTGGCCCCTACGTTGTTTATGACCGTCTGTGGCTGCGTGGAGGCCAGACCTGTAGGACAACAACGGCACATCATCTGCATATACACGAACGCTGTCATTTTTGAAAAACCTGTGGAGACCAGGTTACCAATCAGCAGCGAAGACTCCCCCAGACTCATTACACTGGGCAGGGACGCCATGATGAGCCCCTGTGAGGACGCGGTGGAGCAGGACAGGTTGTGTAGGGAGGTCAGAGTGCTTACGGGGGGCAGTGGACCGCCACTGGACAGCTACAAGACAACCAAAGACAACACTTGTCTCAGCAGGTGGACTCACAGGGAGATGCATTTAGGAACGGGCGACAAACTCTGACCTGCTTCGGGTTGTGGGTCTCCAGGAGTGTGTGGCTGGGCTCCAGCTGAACTGGACTGATCACGTGACGTCCAGCACCACCCTTGGCAGAAGCGATGGTGTCACACAGGATCTGCTGGTTGTATTTGACACCTGGGGCAGAAACAGTTGGTAAATCCGTCAGCAGCCGTTTGGCCGATTGGTGACGGATACGTTTTTTTAGCGGTTCCGAGATTCGTTACCGTGCTCGGGGCTGGACTGAAGGTTGAGGTTGACGGATGAAGCTGATTGGTTGCCGAAGGGTGTGTCGAGGGCCAGCTTCTGACGAAAGGCCTCCTCTTTCCTGCGGTTGGCGAACCAGTTGTAGACCCGGACTTCGGTCACCAGGTTGGAGCCCAGTCCGGCTAGCTGACAGGGGGACACTCCCCTCTGGAGACACTCTGCCCTGAGAAAGGAAGGCAACGGTGAAATCCACAGGACCTTATAAGGTTGAGTGCCCCCCACCCTCTCAGACCCCCCCAACTGAACTGGTAATTAGACCTCACTATTTTGCCTTGAACTACCTAATAAGATGTGGATTGGTGATTCTCAAACTATCGTGCACTAAAAGAGGTACTTGGACTCCCCCCGGTAGTAATCATTTTTTTTTCTATTGATTAAATAAGTTTCTGGGTTCCATTTGGAGAGTTCTCAGAGTGTTCGATGTGGACCAAAGGTCAACAACGGTTTTTGGGTTTCAGATCGCAAAACGTCTTGATAAGTAAAAAAAGGGAAACGATAGACAAACAGATGTGAAGAACAGACGGCGTCCTGGTCGACGAGCGTCACTCACCTGTTACATTCTTCCACCAGCCCTTCTCTCTCCTCTTTGCTGGGATTCTTCTGTCGTTCGTAGGCCTGGAACAGGATCTGCAGCGACGCCGGACCCCACTTGAATCGGTTCCTCCGTCCTTTTCTGTCCTGTTCTTCAAGCGATGCCAGGCCGTGTTTGGCATTGGTGAATTCTAGAACGAAACGGTTCCGTATTTTGTTTTTAAAATTCTGACTCTCAGTCCCTGCGGAACTGGTTAGTCCCAAGTAAGGATCTGGCGATATGATACATATCGTGATATAGCGGCAACTATTGCGTTTTTAACACCCCTACTCCTGAGTAGAAATGTGTGTAAAATGCGAAGTGTATGTGAAAGCCCCCATCTGCCCCCATTCTCCCCGATCTGTACTCACGCTGGCTGATCTCGCACCGCTTCTTGACATACCAGCTGTACAGGGCAGCTCTCTTCTGGTTTTTCATGGGCGTGCCTTTGTTGAGGTGCTGCGAGAGGTGGGACTGGTTCAGACCCGTGGACTCCACCACCTCTCTCTGGGGGAGGTTGTGCTGCTGCATGTAGGTTTTCACCTTTTTCGCCACGTGCCAGGGATCCTCTCTGCAATAAGACGACAAGTCGGTGACACGTCAACACACGCCAGAGCGGTAGATCTACAGGTGAAACTCTTCGAGAGTCGCTCCCGATTATCCGCAAATGAATAAATAAAAAAACAATCCCGGAATCTGGAACGAACAAAAACACAAAAGTACTATAAAAGTACCCAACAAACGCGTGAAAATTCTGATCGGTTGAAACAAAATGAATCGCGCATTACGGTGTAAGCAGTCTGCTGCGTTAGCTCAAAAAAGGCCACTGGTCGTACCAGGACGCTACACCCTCTAGTACAGTAGGGGGCGGTATGTTGTCCTTTACCAGTTTTGGCATTTGTAGTACTACTTCATCTGTTCTTATAAGGACTACCTGATCTTCACATACTGGTCTGATCGGACCAATCTGGGTCTGTGCTGCTGTGCCCTACTAGCAGAGGCAGGTATGGCGGTTCAATCGCTGTTCGTGACTGAAACTGAAGCTTGGTTTTATTTTGTTTATTTTTTTTTATTTTTTCATTTTAGTTTTTCTGCTCCCCCGAGAGAGAGTGACGGTTTCGCAGACGTTGGACATGAGACGGAAGTACAGAGAGGCGTATTGACACGAGGAGATAAGAGACAACAAACAGGGTCAAAGTCCAGTCCGGTCACAGACACCAGTGGAAAAAAAGGCTTTTATTTTCACCTCATTAAACACCAAATCAAAACCCAAGTCCAGTTCAATCGTACAACGGGTATTTCTCAAATATGCCAAATACGCGATTTAAACATTAGCCGTGTATTTTTTTAATATTATTAGTGTTACTGTGTATATTATGACAGTTTGCTAATCCCAGTATTTCACGCATAAATAGCGAGACGTGTCGTTAGCTCTCACTCGGTGTGTCAACATAAACGTACACGTTCGGCCGCGCTCTATTAATCTTTACCTGCGCGTGTAACTTATTTATTAAGAAATGACCACAGAATAATGTTGGAGTGGGGTAATTAGTAACTAGCAAAGGAGGAACCCGCTTTAAATTCGCCCGAGACACCAGACGGCACAGAGAGAGAGAGGGAGAGAGGAGGGAGGGAGGGAGGGAAAAAATATCGGGTAAGAGTCGAAGGATTCACCGAAGAGTTCTAATGTGTCTGAGGAACCTTCAGAAAAGTACCAGGACCTCCGGTACTCACTGCAGCAGGCGCTCCACCTCGACCCTCATCTTGGCCACGTCCTCCGGGGACAGCTGCTCCAACTCCCTGAAGATGGGCGGCTGGAAGTCCATTTCTCCTTCCTCCGAACTCTCCCCGTCCCCGCGTTCGGCCTTCCTCGCCCCAGCGCCGGCTCTCTCCTGCTCCAGCTCCCCCATGGCTTGGACCAGGATGTCCCGGGACAGGCCGGACTCGAGCAGAGCCCAGATCAGCTGCTGCTGCAGGGGGGTCAGAGCACCGGGCCGGCCCTCGTCCTCTCTCTCCATGACACGCACCGTGTCTTACCTCGCCTGGTCAACAGAGCCCTGCTGTCATGTGCACGAGCGCGTGCTCAGACCACAGCCGGACCGTCAGTGTCGGGCCTCATCATAGCTGCGTTTATCACTTCATTTTCCCTCGGTGCGACTTCGGAGCTGCCCCTTGTTTTAGCTCTCCACCTGCTGTTTTCCTTTCAAAGGTCAATTTTCTTTTTTTTCTCTTTTTTTTTCATTCTTCCTCCTCTTTTCCTCCCTCCCCCTCACATGTGCTCGGTGAACTTTGTCCCTACTCTGTCTGTCCCCGACAGTGGCCAAAGTACAACGCACACACACATTCACACAGTAAATGTGAATGAACTCGGTTTTTTTGTTTGTTTGTTTTTTACTGTAAATCACATCCTCAGAAAATGCGTTTACATTTATTTATTGTTATTTTTGAAAAGTGCACGTGCGCGCGTACCTACAACCTACAAACACACGATCACGACGTTCAGCGGTTGTCACAGGTTGGATTCGGAAACTTCAAAATAATAATTTTCCAATCTTTAAAAACACAGAAACGGATGTGGAGTAATGTTTACTGTATGTGTAGATATTTTCGTCTTCCGGTCGCGGGTTCGTGTAGTTCCGGGTTTTATTTGAGCGGTGACGAATCTACTGTTTGAGGTCAAAATAATTTCCTATTTTTGGGTTAAAGATATTGTGGGTTAAAAAAAACCCAACCTAAATCTTCAGATTTGGTGCAGAGAAAACATGACGTGACCTAACTTGTACCACTTGAGGGCGCTATTGTTCCGCGTACACACGAGAGCAGCCGGAAATGGACCAAACCTGTTTGATATTTCAGACAGGATTTTAAAAAAATAATAGAATAACAAATGGAATATTTTTATTGGTCAGGATTTTAAATCATATATTTTAAAAAACAAATATAAAATGTTACTAAAATCAATTGCACGAACACATTTAAACGAGAAACGTCTGCTTTTAGCAGTTTCGCCACAGAGCAACACTTCATCGTCGAGTTCTTTTCACGTTCGCGAATGTTCTATGAAGTCTTTTTTACAAAAAACATTTGTAAAACTTTATTTTTTCCCCGTATTTTCTAGACTAGTCTCTACCCCTGGTAACTACGGACTCTGTAACACAAGTGTAACAGAGTGCGTCAGACCCTCGGCCTGATGTGCTAAATGCTAATGCTAAATGGTCGCTATTTATATATCAATCTAATTTTTTATTTATTTTGATTTGATTTTTTTAAATAAAATATCAAATTAAAATAAAACCTGGATAAAATAATTTAAAATTTAATTTTTTAAATCCAGGTTTTATTTTGAAGTACCAGAGGACGTTGTCCAGTTCCAGGTGGGCTACAGACCGTTGGAGTCGACGTCGTTACTTCCTTAAGTGCTTTGTTCCTCTGACCGGATCACCGAATACCCCACACCTTATCCCCAGGTCCGGTCTTTCTGCACCTTTTTTGTGTGTGGAGCTAGAATTACCCCACCCTTGGGAAGATGACATTATAATGTATTTGGAAGGGTAACAGAGCTCCCTCTATCCGCCCTGAGTTTTTCCACTGACCTGTAATTAAGACCCATTGTGCCGTTCAGAGGACATTCCTCAGCCAACAGACAGAGGGCACTGTGTGTGTGTGTATGTGTGAGAGTGTGTACCGCCCC